CACTGGCTGATCTTCAGAGGTCCCAAGTTCAATTCCCAGCAACCACGTGGAGGCTCATAACCATCTATAATGAGATCTGGTGCCCTCTCTTGGCCTGTAGGGATACACACAGAGAACACTGTATGCAGAATAAATAGATCTTAAAAAAAAAAAAACCTATCTAGTAGTACATGTGTGTACATACACAACTAAGTTTAAAATATATATAGCGAGGCAGTAGAGGCACACACCATTAATCCCAGAACTCAGGAGGCAGAAGCAAGTGAATCTTGTTCGAGGCAAGTTCAACGCCAGCCTAGTTTACAGAGCAAGTTTTTTTTTTTTTTTTTTTTTTTGGTTTGGTTTGTGGCGGGGCAGGGTTTCTCTGTGTAACCCTGGTTGCCCTGGAACTCACTCTGCAGACTAGGCTGCCCTCAAACTCAGAGATCCACCTGCCTCTGCCTTCCGAGTGGAAGCCAGCTATGGAAAAGTCTGTTTTCCCAGCTTTAAGACAAGATTATGTGGACTTAAAGACAGCTGATACTGCCTGATGGGATGTATCCGTGCAGCCAGCTCAGGATCACCTTTGTTGTCCTGCAGAGCTGTTGGTTTGATTTGTGTGTAGAGGGTGTGGTGCCTACATCTGGGCAAGTGTCTTTGGGAGCCAGAGAAAGATGCCAGATGGCCTCCTCTATTACTCTGTACCTTATTCTGGTGAGACAAGGTCTCTCCTTGAACCAGAAATTTACCATTCTGGCTAGACTGACTGGCCAGCAAGTTCTTGGGAACCACCTGCCTCTGTGTCCCAACTGCTGGGGTTGTAGGCTCACAAAGCCATACTTGGCTTTGAACATAGGTGTTGGAATTTGAATTCATGTCTTCATGTTCACATTGCAAGCGTTTGTACCCCGAGCTGTCTCTATAGTCCCTACTATTTATTTACTTGTTTATTTTGCTGCTTCTGAATATTAGATATCACTATTTATTGGTTATTTGAAAATGAAATTTGGGGCCTGTCAGATAACTCAGCGGGCACAGGCACTCGCTGCACTAGTGTGATGACCTCAGTCTGTCCCCAGAACGCGTGGTGGAGACAACTAACTCCCAGTTATTCTCTGACCTGTATGCCTTGAGATGTGCATGTTACACTCAAACACATATAACAATAATAATTTTTTTTTCTGAGACAGGTTTTCTCTGTGTAACAGCTCTAGCTGTCCTGGAACTAGCTCTGTAGACCAGACTGGCCTCGAACTCACAGAGATCTGCCTGCCTCTGCCTTCCAAGTACTAGGATTAAAGGCGTGCGCCACCACAGCCCGGCAACAATAATAAATAATTCAAATTCAGAAAAGCTTGCACCTTTGAGAGCTGGTTGTGGTGGTCCACTTGGTGGGTACAAGTAGCAGGAGTTCAAGGTCACCTTCAGCCACGTGGTGAGTTAAAAAAGGCTAACTTGAAATACAAGAGGTCCTATCTCTAAAAAAAAGATTTTATTGCTCTCTGCTCCTTGACTGGACTCCATGTGGCCAGCCGCCTCCTGCAGCTGTTGTCTTATGCCATGATAGACCATCCTCTAAAACTGCAAACCAAAATAAGCCCTTCTTTCCGTTAAAAACAAGCGAACATAAAATGATGAATCTCAATATATGTCCCTGTATTTCACTATAGCAGTCTTGGCTGTCCTGGAACTCGCTTTGTAGACCAGGCTGGCCTCAAACTCGCTGAGATCCACCTGCCTCCGCCTCCTAAGTGCTGGGATTAAAGGCGTGCGCCACCACTGCCCAGCTTAGTTACAGCATTTTCAAACATATATATATATATATATAATATCTCATTGTACTTTGCTCATGTCTTATCTCTCTTCCACACATACAGAGACTGTAAGTCCAAAGATACATAATTTTTTTTAAAAAGCTGAGCCTTCTGTCTACATAAGTACATGGGTGTAATCACAGCTCTGGGAAGCTGAGACAGGCACATTGCTGTGAGTTTGAGGTCTGCCTGAGTTACACAGTTCTAGGCTATAGTATGAAACATTGTCTCAAAAACCAGGAGGGAGTAAGTTGGAGAGAAAGCAAGTGACCAAGTCCTTGGCCACCTATGTGAAGGCCACCCTGCTGGTAAGTGGCAGAGTCAAATCTGAATCCCTGCCTCTAAGCTCCAGCCTGCCTCCCCATCACCTAGTACTTGTACTCTGCATTCCTGAGAGTTGTGGTGATTGGAACTCACATGAACTTGATGAGGCTGGATTTGTCTAGATCTTCAGGGGCAGGGAAAGGCGTATGCAATGATTTTAAGACAAAGAGTAAGAAATTTAGGGGCAAGAAAGAGTAGCCACCAAAATAAACCAGGAAAACTAGCTGTTCCTGCTTGAGCAGGAAATACCCAGTCATCCAGCTTGCTTAGTTTCATGCCATTTAGCTTCCTCAGAGGCCCCTCTGTGGGTGTTAATGAAACTGACCTCGCTTGAGTCAGTGGTAGTAAAACAGGTTATTAAAAAAAATCTAATTTGTTATTTTACATCACCAATGCTTAAGTGTGTGTGTGTGTGTGTGTGTGTGTGTTTATATCCATGGACAGTGGTGCATGCTTTTTTTTTTTTACTTTTTGGATCTCTTGAGACAGCGCCTTTCTGTGTAGCTTTGGAGCATGTCCTGGAAGTAGCTCTATAGAGATCCACCTGTCTCTGCCTCTCAGGTGCTGGGATTAAAGGTGGGTGCCTCTGCCATTGCTGATGCATGCCTTTTAATCCCAACACTTGGGAGGCAGAAGCCAATGGATCTCTGATATGGCCAGCCTAGCCTATAAATAAAGTTAGTTCCAGGACAGCCACGGCTATAAGAAAAAACCCATTTCAAAAATAAATATTGATACATGTGTGCATATGCTATTTATTTATATGTACAGCATATATAACTAGAGTAGTTAGGAGCACAGTGTGAAATAGGAAGAGATATGTTGTCCTGGGCATAATTTTAGAGAGAATATGGACATCTCTGGCTTTTTATTTTTTTCTAATTTTTATATGCATTGGTGTTTGAGGGAGTCGGATACCCTGGAACTTGAGTTATAGACAGTTGTGAGCTGCCATGTGGGTGTTGGGAATTGATCCCGGGTCCTCTGGAAGAACAGCACGTGCAGCTGGGCGGTGGTGGCGCACGCCTTTAATCCCAGCACTCGGGAGGCAGAGGCAGGCGGTTCTCTCTGGGTGTTCGAGGCCAGCCTGGTCTACAAGAGCTAGTTCCGGGACAGCGGGACAGGCACCAAAGCTACAGAGAAACCATATCTCGAAAAACCAAAAAAAAAAAAAAAAAAAGAACAGCACGTGCTCTTAACTGCTGAGCCATTTCTGCAGCCCCTATCCCTGGCTTTTAATAATCAGTGCTCTGCAGAGCCAGGCGTAGTGACTTAGACTTTAAGTCTCAGCATGAAAGGCAACGATAGGTATATCTCTGTACGTTTGAGGGCAGCCTGATCTACGTATTGAGTTCCAGGCACACAGGCCTTCATAGTGAGACCCCGTGTTTAAAGTAAATAAATTGGGTAAGACAAAATCCCAATGGTAGTGACAGGGGCCAGCCAGGCTCCACATCTATAGTGGAGAGCACAAACCAGAGCTGAGAATGTTTTCATTCGTAGGAAACTTTGGCACATGAAGCCCTAGGTTCATTCCCTAGCACCTAAAACCAGGTGTGGTTCACAGGTTGAGGCTACCCTAGGATGCGCAAGACCCTGTCTATAAGTAAGTAAACAAACTAACATCCTAATGACATATACACAAACAAAACAAAAAGTCCTAGAGGCTCTGAGTTGCTGACTGCAGGAGCCATGCTTGTTTCAGTGGTCCTCAAAGGCACAGATGTTCTGTCCCCAGGAGAGGATGATGCAGGATACCTTGTGAATCAGGCTCTCCCTTCCCCCAGTGAGCGTGCGGCAGTGCCTTTCAGGGGTCGAGGGCCCTGTGCTGCATGGTTTCAGTGCCCGGTGTTATTTATCTAATCTGTCATTTTTATTAGCTACCCTTGTTTTTTGGTCTTTTTGTTTTGCTTTTGGTGTTTTGGTTTGTTTGTTTTGTTTTGAGACAGGGTCTCTGTATAGCCCTGGGTGTCCTGGAACTCTGTATGTAGACCACACTGGACTCAAATTCAGATTCGCCTACCTCTGCCCCCTGAGTGCTGGGATTAAAGGAGTGTGTCATCATGCTTGACTTCCTTTTTTTTTCCTGATTTTTTTCAGTCTTTTTTTGAGACAGACTCTTGTTCTTTAGGCCAGGCTGCCCTCGTATGCCCACACGCCTGCCTGAGGCTCCAGGTGCTTGTCTTTATAGTGCTGCAGCTGCTGCCTTTTAGTTCCTACTTCTTCCCACTGTCGTATTGTGAAATTGCTAAATGTTTGCAGCAAGAAAACTTTAATTAAGGGCTGGAGAAATAACTCAGAGCTTAAGAGTATTACTCCTTTTGTGGAGGACCTGGGTTCAGTTCCCAGCATCTGTGTAATGCACCGACATCAGGTACACACACACACACACATCAAGTAAATACTTTTTAAGAAAAGGAAATTTAAGATCAGTCCTTTTTTGTGATTGAAGCCTTGAAGGCTAAATTACTTGCCCAGATTTGACCCCCCCACACACTTATTGTTTTTGTTTTGTTTTGTTTTTAGTTTTTCTTGGTTTTTGGAGACAGGGTTTCTCTGTAGCTTTGGAGTCTGTCCTGGAACTAGTTCTTGTAGACCAGGCTGGCCTCAAACTCACAAAGATCCACCTGCCTCTGCCTCCCGAGTGCTGGGATGAAAGGTGTGTGCCACCACCGCCCGGCTTGTTTGTTTTGTTTTCTCTGTGTCTAACAGGTGACTGTGGTATCAGTGTTCAAGGAACAAAATCCTTCAGCTTTTATTTTGGAAAAATACTTCATTTGTTCTTTGGGGTCAGAAAACTTAATTGCTTTCAAATTATCCAAGAATGTAGGTTCCACTGAGTATGATCTCCCCCACTAACCAGTTTGTTTCTTACTATTTTAGGAACCATGTTTGACCGGTACTATGGGAAGGTCCGCTCTATCCTGGAGACCCTTGTAAGGAGATGAGTCGTTGAGCAGAGGCCAGAATGAAGTTGCTGCCAGGAGTGGGAGTGTTTGGGACTGGCAGCTCAGCCCGGGTCCTAGTCCCGCTGCTGAGAGCAGAGGGGTTCACCGTGGAGGCCCTGTGGGGGAAGACCGAGGAGGAAGCAAAGCAGCTGGCCGAGGAGATGAACATCACTTTCTACACCAGCCGGACCGATGACGTCTTGCTGCATCAAGATGTAGACCTGGTGTGCATCAACATCCCACCTCCGCTCACCCGGCAGATATCCGTGAAGGCTCTAGGTATGTACCTTCAGACCGCAGCAGGCGGAATGTGTTTCCCTTTGGGCAGTCCTCCACAGCTCACTGCCCTCTCACAGGCCTGGGCATTCCTTCTTTGTCTGTGTTTGCGTGTAGCCGTGATGTGGGACATCGCTGGGACACGGCTAGGAAAGGGATGTTGGAGATTGATTCTAAAAGCTCTCAAGAGGAAAGAATAGCTCGACCTTCTGTACCCCCTGTTCACTAGTAACCCTCTGAGCTGACGCTCAGCCCGTCAAGGAGCCAGAGATGTGCGGTTGTTGACTCTCGGGTCTGCCTCTGGACCCTGCGGGTCACTTGTGACCGCTGTGTGTACTCTGCCGTTGTGTAGCACAGGGCCCTGCAGGAAGGAGCGGAGGCTGTCTAGAAGACTGCGTTTCCCGTGCTTTGTCAGCCCTTGACTGTAGTGAGCACCACCCTTCCTGGCAAGCTGCAATCTCACACTGCCAGACAGCAGGAAGGCTGTCTGTCAGCCCTGGCTTTCCCGACACCAACCACGGGACAGCTCGCTTACATTTCCACTCCCTTGGGAAACTGGGTTTGGGGACCTCTGACCCTGGCTGGGTGTGGCCCTGTCAACTGATCTTCAGCTCCTAGTGAATTCCACTTGATTGTGAACTATGGACAGATTTTTCTTTCATCATACATATCTTGAGACAAGAGTTTACCTATGTAGTTCAGGCTGTCCCCCAACTCACAATCCTGCCTCGCCCTTCTGAGTGCTGGGAGTTTGTGTGTGTGTGTGTGTGTGTGTGTGTGTGTGTGTGCATGTGCGTGCACAACTACTCCTGGCTTCTTTTCTTTCTGTTATTGGATCTCTCTTGCTCTTTTTCTTTATGTTTTTTAAGTTAAGGTTCCAAGCTTTCCAACTGCAGTCAGTTTAGAGTTGCGAGAGTCGCACTGTGGTTTCTCCACCTCCCGGATTTGTTCCCTCGCTGGGGTTGGCAGCTTCCTAGGTGGTTCTGATGCACACTGTGGGTGAAGGGTCACAGACCCACAGCACTGTCTTTGTTCTTCTGTAAAGGATGTAGTTCAATTGGTAGAGCGCTTAGTATGTATGAAAATCAGGGTTCAGTCTCCAGAGCCACAGAAGACTAAGTGTGGTGGTATGTGTATACTCTTAACACCAGCATTTGGGAAGTGGGGCAGGAAGACCAGATCAAATTGTTTTTGGCTTTTGACTCCATAATGAGGTCAAGGGCAGCATGGAATACATGAAAAATTGTGTTTAAGAAAGAAAAGGAAAGCAAGGCGGTGATGGCGAATGCTTTTAATCCCAGCTCTCGGGAGGCAGAGATAGGTGGATCTCTGTGAGCTCCAAGCCAACGTGGTCTACAAAGTGAGTTCCAGGACAGCCAGAGCTACACAGAAAAACCCTGTCTCTAAAAACCAAAAAAAAAAAAAAAAAAGAAAGAAAGAAAGGAGAGGACTAGTGAGAGGCTTGGTGACTATTCTGGGCACTTTGCTCCCAAGGCTGACAACTGGAGTTTGTCACTTGGAAGGAGAGACGACTCCTCAATTTTCCTCTGAATCTGAGGCTCACTGGGATTTGGAAGTATAGCTCAGGCAGAGCTAGTGTGCAGAGACTTTGGGTTCAATCCCCAGTACCCCAAACAAAAGAAAAAGAAATGCAACTGAGGCCCAGTGTAGCAAGGAGGCCACTTGTTAGTTCCCAGCTCCTCAGCCCCGAAATAATCACACAGAAACTGTATTAATTAAATCACTGCTTGGCCCATTAGCTCTAGCTTCTTGTTGGCTAACTCTTACATCATAATTTAACCCATTTCTATTAACATACTGTGTAAAGTTCTGACGTCTATCTCCAGTGGGGCTACATGGCCTTTCCTCACTCTGCTTCCTTTCTCCCAGCATTCAGTTTAGTTTTCCCCACCTACCTAAGTCTGCCCTATCAACAGTCCAAGGCAGTTTCTTTATTCACCAATGGTATTCATATCATATACAGGGGAATTCCACATCAGCCCAGGAATGCTACTTGGGTATTTTCTAAGTCTTGGGCTATAGGCAAAATTGCTTTTCCTTCTCATTAGAGTATTTTTTATTTTGATTTTGTGTCTGTGGTGTCCTTGTGTTTACACTGTGTGTAGAAATGCATGTCCTTTTCATGTCACACATAGAGGCTAGAGCTTAATATTGGGTAATTTCATTTTTAATTTGTAGGGCTGGGGGGGGTGCATGTGACTATGAGTGCCCAGGGAGGAAGCCCATCAGCTCCTCCTGGAGCTGGAGTTATAGGCAGTTATGAGCGGCCCACGCAGGTGCTGGGAATTGGACTTGGGGCTCTCCAGCCCTATCTACTTTATTTTTTGAGACCCTGAACCAGGAGTTCTCCATTTCAACTAGACTGGCCAGCCAGTAAGCCCCTAGGGTACGTCTGTCTGTGTCCACTCCCTGCATCCTCAGTTAGTTGTTCTTGACACATGCCTCGTTTTCCCATGGCCGCTGAATCCCATCCAGCCGGCTCCACAACTGAGTTATGAAAGAGGACAAGGAGGGATTTGTTTTCTAGTTCTAATTCTGCTAAGGATTTTTTCATATTTGGTGATGGATAAGTGCACAAAAACATATTCCATACTGAAAGTGTATGTGAAGCTCCACAGCTTCAGAATATATAGAAATTCACTGAGTTATGTAGACTTTGGGTCTGGTTACTTTTGGTGTGTTTATGTTGTTTAAAAGAGTTTTTAAAAAAAAATAAAAATAAAATAAAAGAGTTTTTGTTGCTCAGGAATAAAGTTTACAAAACTAATTAAGATTAGATATATACATGTATGTCTATATATATTTTATAACACATTAAAGTTTATTAATTAAGTTTAAGAATTAAGTTTATTAATTCTTTTCTCATGAGCTATTACAATAACAAAAGATCACTCTCTAAGCACACTGACCCAGATAATTTAATCTCAAGAACTCCAGTTCTGGGCTAGAGAGATGAGTCAGTGGTTAAGAACACTGGCTGCTCTTCCAGAGGTCCTGAATTCAATTCCCAGCAACCACATGGTGGCTCACAACCATCTGTAATGAGATCTGGTGCCCTCTTCTGGCTTGCAGTCAGACATGCAAACAGAATACCATATACATAATAAATAACTAAATCTTTAAAAATAAAAACTCCAGTTCCTTACGTAGCCTTTTAGCCCAGACCAGATTCCTGCTATGCAGTTCACATTTTTACCGTATACTCATATGAACCCCCAAAGTGTAACTTTTCAAGTTAAATCCTTTACTGATACTGTGTTCCCCCAGTGCTTGGCCCAGGACCTGGCATACTGGGTAAATACAACATTTACATTCCTGTCCATGTGGTCCATATTGCTGGTGGCCAGGAAAGAATGGAGATGGGCTATAGGCAAGAGTGAGAGCCTGCTCTCCTGGTTTGCAAGCTCATACATATTTCTAGTACCTGGGCTGGGTATGGTGGCACCCATCTTTAATTCCAGTGTCCAGAAGTCAAAGACTGGCAGATCTCTGTGGCTAGCCTGGTCTACATAGTGAGTTCCATGACAGCCTGGACTACATAGAGAAACCTTGTCTTACACACACACACACACACACACACACACACACACACACACACGACAGCCTGGACTACATAGAGAAAGCTTGTCTTACACACACACACACACACACACACACACACACACACACACACGACAGCCTGGACTACATAGAGAAACCTTGTCTTACACACACACACACACACACACACGGGCTAGAAAGATGGCAGTGGTTGAGAATACTGGTTGCTCTTTCATAGGACCCAGGTTCAATTTCCAACACCTACGTGGCAGTTCACAGCTGTCTATAACTCAAGTCCCAAGACTGCTAACACCCTTACACCAATGAACAGCCGGGCGGTGGTGGCGCATGCCTTTAATCCTGGCGCTCGGGAGGCAGAGGCAGGCAGATATCTGTGAGTTCTAGCTAGCTAGACATGGGTGAGCTTTGTGTTTGACAGAGAGACCCTAACTCAAAGCATAAGATGAGGAGCAGTAGAGGAAGATCTAGGCCTACAGAACAAGTTCCAGGACAAGCTCCAAAGCTACACAGAGAAATCTAGTCTAAAAACAAAACAAGAAAACACCAATAAACATAAAATAAAAGTAACTATTTTTAAAAATTTACTTTTATGGGTATGTATGTTTGTCTGCATATATGTATGAGAACCTCATGCCTGTCTGGTGTCTGAGGAGGTCAGAAGAGGAGTTAAATCCCCTGGAACTGGAGTTAGAGATAGTTGGGAGCCACCAGATAGGTGCTGGGAACGAACTGTACTCAGGTTCTCCACAAGAGAAGCAAGTGCTTCTAACCACTAAGTCATCTCTCCAGCTCCATAAAACCTTTTTAGTTAAAAAAAGAAAGTGGGTTGGGCGGGGGAAGAGGGGAGGCTGAAGAGACGTCTCAGCGGTTAAGAGCACCAGTTGCTCTTCCAGAGAACCCGGATTCAGTTCCCTGCACCCACTTGGCAGCTCACAACTGTCTGTAGCACATGTTCAAGTGGTCAGAACTGCAGCTCTCTGTGGGGTTTTGTGCTGAGAACCTAGTTGTACTTCACTGATCAGCCACGTGTGTAACAGCCAAATGCAGTTACTTCTAGTGTCGTGATTCTCCTGCCCCTCATCCAGAAATCGCGAATGGAGGGACCCTCCAGAAGCAGTAGTTACAGTGAGCTAACTCATGTCATCCTGCCACGCCTGTTGTTTGGAGACAGGAAGTGGAAGGGCATCCTAAGTTGCAGTGACACAGTGACGCCGTGGGGTGCTGTTGTGCGTGTGTCCTCAGTAGAGCCCTACGGTTGGTTCATCATCCCCAGAGCTCAGGCCTGAGACCCGCATATGTGTTGATGCTAAATGTTTTGTGGACATCTTGAGGGTCAGGGTGGCTGGGATAGGTGTAGGAAGTAGGGAGCTGGCAGGATTGCCAAAAACATCTCTGCCGTGGCCGTTGTGAGGCCTGAGCTGCTAAAGAGCTCCTCTCTTTCTGTGAGAGGCCTCGTGACAGTGCTAATATGATATTATAATAGAGTAAGTTTGCGGGTAGCTGGCTTACAGAGTAAGACCCTATCTTAACCCCCCCTTCCTCAAGAAGAAGGAGACATTTTCAACATTAAACACAGAAACGATTTGCCTAGAAATCGGAGCATTTGTGTGAATCTTCAAGTCTTGAGTCTCAAGAAGCCATTCTGCTGTATTCAGCCTCTCCAGCGATTTGGTAAACGCGAATCGCCGATGGTTGTGCTGAGCCAGACGCCTTACCTGGGTTCCCTCAGTTACTGCAGACATCTTCCCTGTAAGGTGGATTATCATTTCATAGTGATAGCCAGAACTCTGAGAGGCAGACAGACTGCAGGTTGCTTTTTATGAAGTGTCTAAGCTTGCCACTAGTAGTTGACACTTCCTTGCTATTTGGCTGGCTGTGGCCCATCCATCATGGGAGACATCAGTCATTTTTTCATACTTCCTTTCTTTCATTTTTTCTGCAAGATTTATGGTTGATGGTAGCCAGTGTTTGCGCAGGACGACTAAAGGAGTTTCCCAGCTGGGCCTGTGGGAGGGGCGGGATCCATGCAGCAGGACAGGCTGTGCCCTGCAGTGACCACCTGAAGTCATCTGCATCCCACCTTGGTCTCATCAGAAAACACTCAGCAAGGTGGGTGGTCCTTGGACTTCCCACAGGGCAGGGAACCCTGATGGCTCTTTGGGCTGACGAGGGAGGGGGACTTGGTTGGGGGAGGGGAAGGGAAATGGGAGGCGGCGGGGAAGTGACAGAAATCTTAAAGAAAGAAAGGAAGAAAGAAGAAGAAAGAAAGAAAGGAAAGAAAGAGAGAAAGAAGAAAAGAACTCAGCAAGCATGCCGGGGACCGAGGGAATGAGCACTGGAGCTGTTGCAGGTGTGCACACCGAGAGGGAGGTACAGTGGTAGGGCTCAGTGGACGACTTTCTACTGTAGAATCTTGGGATTGAACTCAAGTCCTCAGGCTTGCATAGGGCTTCCCCGAGTCCCCACTGAGCCATCTCCCCGGCCCTAATCTGTGGTGAGATTTTGTTTGTGATCTAACAAATAAAGCTTGCCTGAAGATCAGAGAAGCAGACTAGCCAGTTCTTATCTCCTCCCACCCTATATTCCTCTCTGCACCCAGCCAAGTCCCTTCCTGTCTCCACCTCCCTAGTGTTGAAATTAAAGGCCTATTACTCCTGAATACTGGAATTAAAGGTGTGAGCCACCACTGCCTGGCCTCTGTGGCTAACTAGTGGCTAGCTCCACACTCTGATCTTCAGGCATGCTTTATTAGATCACAAACAAAATATCAACACATTTCCTCCTTTTTGTCTAAAATTTATAAAAGGTTATAGCTAATATAAGAAAAACTATGTATATAAGCATAATAGCTATATACAATATATACAGACAATATTTACATTAACAATATCTAGTCATTAGCGTTTGACAAATTCATAGAAAATACTCCATTGTCTATCTTATTTTGGTGATTCCAGAAGGTTATATGTAATTCATTTTCTATCTTTAGGGGATCCTGAAAAGAAAAATTAGGGTTAATTGTCAAGTACTGGGAGGAGGTAGCTGTATCATTTCTTATCCAGTCTCTGTGCAATGGAAAAGTGCAAGGGGTCCTGGCTAGAGTAGTCTGTGAGATAGGAACTCACCGCATTCAGTCTGGAGATTCAGTCTGAGGACTTGTAGAAACAGGATACCCCATTTAGTCTGAGGATTCCATATCAGTAAGAATTAGTGGCTGGCTGTTCTGCTTCTCTGACTTCCAGCTTTCATCCCCTAATATCTGACTCCAGGTTTTTATTATTAAGACCAATTAAAATTCACACTACACTAATTCTTTCTGGGACGAAGTCTTTTGGTATAGTCCAGGCAGGCCTGCAAATCCCCGCCTCCCAAGTGCTGGAATTATAGGCACATGCTGTCATGCCTGGTGGTTGGACTTTGACTTTTATTCTGAATGAGAGGTGACTCCATTGGAAGACTTTTCTGGGAGAGATACTCTGATCCATCTAAGTTTTACGTTACGTTAGATTTCCATTCCGGGAACAAAATATTCGAGATCCACAACTTAAAAAGACAGGCTGGCCAGGCGAATGTCACCTGCCAGTCCCAACCCTCGGAGGCCGCGGCAGGAGAATCTCTGAGTTTAAAAGGAAAGGTTTGCTTTGCTGGTGGTTTTAGCCTTTTAACCTTGGAGTAGCTTCATCGCCTCTGGATCCATGTGATCCAGAAGAGTAAGGCAAAGAGCATGTGGTGGACAAGGCTGCCCTGTGTGTGAGACAGGCTCACGCTGTGTATGTAGCCTTGGCTGGCCTCAAGCTCATAATCTTCCTGTTTGAACCTCTGATTGCTGGGATTGCAGCTGTGAGCCTCCGTGCCCGGCTTAGGAGCAAAACTCTGCACCTGACAGCAGCAGCAGCAAAGCAAAGAACAGGAGCTCAGCGCCGCATTCAAAGACCTGGCCTCCAGCGGCCCCAGTTCCTGCCAAAGGTTTCTGATCCCAGCAGCACCAGGTGTTGGGGATCAACCATGGACCTTTGGAGAATGTCATACTGTAACAAGCTTGAACAGAATTGTGACCGTCATGCTGTGAAAAAACAAAAGGGTTGCCAGAGCAGGGCAGAGAGCAATTAAGTGACTTTGGGAGTGGGGAGTGGTTGTTTGAGATAGGGCCTCACGCTGGCTCTGTGTGTGTGTGTGTGTGTGTGTGTGTGTGTGTGTGTGTGTAGCCAAGACTGGCCTTGAACTCCTGACCTTCTTGTCTTGTGGCTTATCTACCAAGAAATGACCTTTGTTACAATCCAAGCAAAACAAAACAGTGATAACCTGAATGGGGACAGTGACAGAACTGGTTAGATTCTGGACACAGCTTGAAGACCAAGTCCACAGGATGTTTGCAAGTCAGATAGCTTGGCAGTGCACACGCCTTTAATTCCAGCACTCAGGGTAGAAGCGAGGAGGAGGGTGGGGGGGCAAGTGGGGGAGGGATGGTTCTCTGTGAGTTCTAGGCCAACCTGGTCTACAAAGTGAGTTCAAGGCCAGCTGTAGCTACCTATGTAGAGAGACTATGTATAAAAAAACCTGAAAAGTGGTAGAAGTGGACACCTGGTTTTAGGTGTGGCCTCTGTACGCATTCATTCTATGGCTAGCTGTACAGACACACGCATGCATACAAATATATACACTTTCATGCACTACACAAACAAAATATTTTTGAAAATGGTACATATGAGGTGCCTACAGTGATTTTTCACTCAGGAAACCCAGATGGGGAAGCTTTGAGCTAGGGACTTTGAGCTAGCCCCAATTTGGATCTTACCTTGAATATCTCGGGAGTGAGTGGTGCCTGTTGTCCATCTACTTTCCCATATCACTTTAAATAGCTTGTAATCTGGTTCTATGTCCTGACATGCAGCCAGGGTGCTAGCAAGTCTAACTCTTGGCCTTACTCTGCCTTAAAGTCTTAGCATATGTCACCCCCTCTCTGTGTGCCCTACGTCCCTGTTCCCTTAACCCCATTAACTCCCCTGTGAAGCCTCACGTGGTCCTGACCATCCCCAGTACCCACTACTACTCCAGTGAAAGAACCCAGGCACTGAGACCTTTCCAGTATGTTCTAAATCTCCTTCCTTCCAGATCATCTGTTTCTGTAGGGGACATTCCTGAGCCGTCTAAAGGTGCGCGCGCGCGCGCGCGCGCGCGTGTGTGTGTGTGTGTGTGTGTGTGTGTGTGCTGACTCTTATGTAATCCAGGCTGGCCTTAAACTCCAGCTCCTCTTGTCTCCATCCCATCTTGTCAGACTTGAGAAATAAAACTGTGTTGTGTTAGTGCACGCCGTTGCTCCAGCACCTGGGAGGCAGAGGCAGCAGATCTTTGAGTTGGAGGCCAGCCTGGTCTACAGAACGAATTCCAGGACAATCAAAGCTACATGGAAAAACTTGTGTTCCCCTCCCAAAAAAAGATTTTTTTTCTCCCTACAAGGCAAATCTTTTTTTTTTAAGATTTATTTATTCATTATGTATACAGTGTTCTGCAGGCCAGAAGAGGACACCAGATCTTACTACAGATGGTTATGTGTCACCATGTGGTTGCTGGGAATTGAACTCAGGACCTCTGGAACAGTAGGCAGTGCTCTCAACCGCTGAGCCATCTCTCCAGCCCCCTACAAGGCAAATCTTTGACAGTTTGAGGATTTCCCGTTGTCTTTTATTCACAGGCATCGGGAAGAATGTGGTGTGTGAGAAAGCAGCGACATCAGTGGACGCCTTCCGGATGGTGACAGCGTCTCGCTACTACCCACAGCTGATGAGCCTGGTGGGGAACGTGCTGCGCTTCTTGCCTGCTTTCGTGCGCATGAAGCAGCTGATCGCGGAGCACTACGTGGGTGCAGTGATGATCTGCGACGCCCGCATCTACTCTGGGAGCCTGCTCAGCCCCAGCTATGGCTGGATATGTGATGAGCTCATGGGTGGCGGGGGCCTGCACACCATGGGCACCTACATTGTGGACCTGTTGACCCACCTGACTGGCCAGAAAGCTGAGAAGGTGCATGGGCTCCTCAAGACCTTTGTGCGGCAGAACGCCACCATCCGCGGCATCCGGCACGTCACCAGCGATGACTTCTGTTTCTTCCAGATGCTCATGGGTGGGGGTGTGTGCAGCACAGTGACGCTCAACTTCAACATGCCAGGTGCCTTTGTACATGAAGTCATGGTTGTGGGCTCAGCAGGGCGTCTTGTTGCCCGGGGAGCTGACCTCTATGGGCAGAAGAACTCGGCCGCACAGGAGGAACTGCTGGTGAGAGACTCGCTGACTGTGGGTGCGGGGCTCCCGGAGCAGGGTCTCCAGGATGTCCCACTGCTCTACTTGAAAGGTATGGTCTATATGGTGCAGGCCTTACGCCAGTCCTTCCAGGGCCAAGGGGATCGCCGTACCTGGGACCGCACCCCGGTCTCTATGGCTGCCTCATTTGAGGATGGACTATATATGCAGAGTGTGGTAGATGCCATTAAAAGGTCGAGCCGATCTGGGGAGTGGGAGACTGTGGAGATGCTGACCGAGGAGCCAGATGCCAACCAGAACCTATGTGAAGCACTTCAGCGGAACAACCTGTGAGCCTACGCATCCTTCCTCCCACAGGGCAGAGAGACCAGGGAGGGACTGGGAGCTGGGACTGGCTATAGCAGACAGTGTCTTTTGTTTAATAAATCAACGAGGGCCGGGGCTAGGAGCTGGTTGAAGGTGGCCCAGGAAAAAGCCCATCCGTCCGTTCTTGACTCCTCAGACTTGCAGGGTGGCCAGTGCTCTCAGGCTAGCCGTGTATGCAGGTGGTTCTACAGAGAGCAGGGGCAGCAGAGGATCCCTCTGTGGGCTGCTCAGCCTGACTTGTGGTCTGACAGGATGAGAGAGCCCAATAAAAGGAACTAGCCTGGCTGAGTCCTAAGGGGAGATGGCAGGAAGCTGTGCCTGTCTTAGACTGGGGCGTCTCAGGACTGGTGAGGGCAACAGGTCATCCCTTAGGGATCTTCACCCACCCTCCCATGTGATGAGACCCTTCCAGCCCCCAGGCAGGCTCTTCCCACAGAAAAGGAGATTTCTGTGTTATACATGGGGAGGAGGGCCCTGACTTGGCAGAGCAGAGACAAAGGAGAACTGTACAACATCTGAGAAATGTCAGTAAATCAGTCAGAAAAAATGTGACATCATGGTGTGTGGTCGTTTGTTTGGGGTTGGGTTTCCTTAATAATGGAAAGCTTGTTTCTTGCTGTAGATTGGTTGTTTTCCCTTTTCTCATGGACTACACTGCAGCTCTGAGCTAATGGCTCAGCTCATGGCCGAATCCCAGAAGTTCTCCAGATATCCTTAGTAGACAGGGCCTGAGGCTTCCTGTCAGCCTTCTGCCAAGCCTGCCATTTCAGGAAGATGGGAGGAGAGCCTGGGCCCTAGACGGGAGGTCATGAAAGATTCCTTTTCTTTTTGTTGTTTTTTAGATTTGTTATTTATTTGTGTGTGTGTGTGTGTCTGTCTGTGTGCATGTACACATGTATGCAGGTGCCCAAAGAGTCCAGCAGATGGCATCAGATTTCCTGGAGCAGGAAATAGTGAGTTAGCGGATGTGGATGCTGGGAACTGAACCTGGGTCCTCTGTGAAGGCAGTTTTAACTGCCGGGCCATCTCCAGCCCCAGACTTCTGTTCCTGAAGCTGTGGTGTGGCTCCAGGACAGCCCTCGGGGAGGAGTTTAAGGAAGAAGGGGCCTGTGCCACCCTTTGGAGCAGGTTTAACTGGTACTGCCTGAGTCAGCTGGCTAGTCACTAGCCTATTGACTAGCTGTTGCAGACAGAGAAAGGCCTGAGCTGGGTGGGGTCTTGAAGGGGAAGAAAAATCTGCCCCTTTGTCTTCTTGGCCAATCGCTGGTTTGCGAAGCCTCTCTGAACTCTGTTCCTTCTCCAGTCTTCCTCTTTCATATCCTGGGCTCCTTGCCAAAAGCCCTGGGGAGGCCTTCCTCTTCCTCTTGGCATCACTTGTAGGGATTATCAGGCCTGTTCCCTGCAGTGTCCTGATTTCAAACACTGTCCTTAGGAGGTTGAATAAGGTTGATGTGCCATTGGTGTTCTGGTCCCCCAGAGTAACCCACTTCATTCAATCTCTAAGCCATTCAGAAAGGCACTGTTTATGTGTTCATCAGGGCTGGACACGGTGCCGTACATCTGTAATCCTAGTGTTTGGGATGCAGAAGCAGGAGGCTGGCTCACTGCAAGTTCAAGGCAAGCCTGGCCTATATAAGAATTCCAGGTCAGCGAAGGCTACAGAGCAAGAACCTTTCTCAAAATCCATTTAGAGTAGAAGGCACAAAGAAGCAGTTACTTGATAAGGACTCCAGCTTCTGACCTTAAACCACCTTATTCCTGTACTTCTCCCAGACGCCTAGGCATTGACCCCTCTGCAGCAGGATTCGGCCTGGCCTGAACTAGAAAGGCACTGTATAGTACCTGTCTCTAGAACATTCCGCTCAGCTCCAGCTGTCCCTGTGTGTCTTACTAAGGTGCCAAGGTCCCATTCAGGCAGTGGTGCACACCTTTAATTCCAGCATCTCTGTGAGTTTGAGGCCAGCCTGGTCTACAAAGCAAGTTCCAGGACAGCCAGAAATATTACACAGAAAAACCCTGTCTTGAAAAAAAATCAAAAAGATGACAGGTTCCCGCCTCAGTTTGAGAATGGCCAAGAAGTCCAAAGATGTATTTGTGAGAGAGCCTTTTTGCTCACCCAGAGCAGTGCTCAGGTCAGAGAACTTTGGAGAAAGACTCCCAGTAGTGAGCAGGTGACGCGTGGTCATGAGGCAGGACTTTGAGAGCACCTCTCAGAGCCTGGATCCAGATTCCTGACACCTCTCCATCCCTCTGGCACAGAATTTCCAGTCACTGGGAAAGGGATGAGTTGAGCCTTAAGGCCCAGATACTTGTGGGTGAGAGCCCAGGGGTGACTGAGCCTAATAAAGTTCCAGGCCTGTCCTGCAGCGCCCCCTCCTGGAAGGAGGCAGCAACATCTCTCAGGACTATATATCTATATCTATATATCTATATCTATATATTGTTTGTTTGTTTTTTTCGAGACAGGGTTTCTCTGTGGTTTTGGAGCCTGTCCTGGAACTAGCTCTTGTAGACCAGGCTGGTCTCGAACTCACAGAGATCCCGCCTGCTTCTGCCTCCCAAGTGCTGGGATTAAAGGCGTGCGCCACTACGGCTTCAGGACTATATTTTTAAATAAAAGTTCTTTCTGTGTTAGCTCTCCCCTTTGATACTCCAACCAGATAGAACTTCCAGAATTGATCTTCAATAAAACTCTATGCTTTGTGCTTACTGAGACATGACACCCGCTTCCTGCCTCCCCGACCATCTCACTAGTCCTTGTTCTTTGCTTCATAAACAGTTTCTCCACAGTGTCAGGCTGTGCGAGGAGCAGACATCCCCACCCAAGACACCACCAGTCTGCACTCGAAAGTTGGAGAACTCAACTTTATTGTATCGGCTGATGATAACTCAAGCTAATCCACAGAGTTCCTGTTGGCTCTATGTTCAGAATCACCTCTGGGCATTGCCCTGATTGGGGGGCTTTACATTTTAGTTTGCGTGATTAGACTTCTAATTTTTAAAAACCAGCATGTTTAATCCCAGCACTTGCAGAAGCAGGTGGATCTCTGAGTTTGAGGCCCACCTAGTCTACAGATCGAGTTCCAGGACAGCTAGGGCTACACAGAGAAACCCTGTCTTGAAAAAACAAAAACAAACAAACAAGCAGGTTTACAGAAGCATCAGGACAAGGCAGCTCTCCTGGAACTATTTCTCAAGGCAGCCAAGATAGTTCTTGGCATAAAGAGTAAGTAAAAGTCCAAGAGACAACACGCCTTTTGAAAATATCCTCAGTCTAGGCCCCAGCAGGGCTCAGCTCCCTCCCACCATGTAACTCTCTTAGATGTAGTCTTTAGGCCACAGTAGAGTGTAACTCTTTGTTGACACGTAACTCCTCCCTACCATGGTAAGGACTCCTGTTTGTTTCTCTTCTTCATCACCTCATACCTGTCCAGCCACCACACGGAACAGCCTTTCCATGTGGCTTGACATCTCTCACACCGGGACAGCTTTGTCCTCGAGTTACCCCAGGCCTGAAAGCCTTTTCTCCAGGAACCGCTGTCTTGGCATCACTTGTCCCCGTGTGTCCCCGTCATCCCCCCCAATCTCTGTTCCTACATGAGCACGAGAACATAACAGTTCATTGCTGCTTCGACTTCCAGCATGCACCCTCCTAATCAAGCCTGCCGGTCTAGGCCTCAGGAAACATTAACTTTCTTCTCCATACTCGATCTCTGCGTTTCCAGCTCTGCAGACAAAGAGCAAATACTTCATATGCTCAGGTCCTGTCGCAGATGGTGTAGAACTCCCGGCAGGACTGGACAGACCCCATCTCTGCACGCATCACTTCCTCAGTCATAATGAGGTCACACTCAGTTACCTAGCTCTGCAACATACTTAATCATCAGTGATCATCTCCTCTCTGTGGGCAAGATTCTGTGTGGCCCCTGTGGACAGTATCACCTGAGGTGCTGGAGTCATTACTATAGGCAGATGGGGAGATGGCTTGCCAGCGACCTTGCTGTGGGCCAGAAAGCATCTAGGCAGCCTCCCGACTGAGGGAGCAGCCGAGAGCGGTGCTAGGAGACTGGGCCCTTCCATCTGCTGTCACCTGCACCTGCCCGCCTCATCCACATCCAGTGACCACGCTGGGCCCTTATTCTAGAGGCCCTGCATGAGACTGTGGACTCGAGATGGCTTTAGCTGTTCCTTTTCATACCTGTCATCTCTGTAGCCTCCTTGAGGCCTTTGATGGGAGTCCCTAGGTAGGTGTGACCCAATGACATGTGATCTAGGGGTGCACAGTCTAGTGAAGATACACAATTCACGGTATAAAAATGCCGCAAATTCAGGGCAACACTGGTGCTTCCTGACTCAGTGAAAGAGGATGTGTGTAGTATATATGTATGTATATGGTGTGTGTGGTATGTATTCATCTATGTGTGTGGTATGTATGTATGTGATGTGTGTGGTATATATGTATGTTTATGCATGTGTGGTATGTGTATATGTGTGCATGTGTGATGTATGTGGTATGTATGCACTAGCCAGGTAGAAGGATGAAGGAACAAAGGCATCTTAGGCAGAGAAAGCCCCATGTGCAGAATGAAAGCAGTACAAGGTCTGGTTGATCAGGAACATGGAACATACACACAGCCAGTAAGTGTCAAAGCGGCTGAGTAAGAAGAGCAAGATGCGACAGGGACAGTGGCATCATCAAGGATGCAGGCTGTGTGCAGCAGGATTATTACATGTATCTGTAACACCAGAGACCACAGGCAGGGGGAACTTTTGAGCCACCTACCTGGAGACTTCTGAGACCCAGGCCCATGTTCCGACCTCTCAATTTAGATAGATTCACTTGTAGAAATAGAGTCAGAAGTGACACCAGGATCTTAGCTTGATACAGGAAGAAAAGCATTTAATGTGGAAGCCCCGTATCTGAAGCGTTTGAAGGGCACGCAGGAAGTCTCCCCAACATGGCTCACTCATCTGCCCTTCCAGAGGCAGCAGTCATCCAGTGACAGGGCCTTCACTGTCCCCACCACCCATCACCAGGGACCAGTAGTGGGCAAAGTGTAGTCTGCTTGCTCTGTGACAATGAATGGGAGCCTTTAAAAAAGTATTTAATGCATATGAGTGTTTTGCCTGCATGCATGTCTGTACACTAGAGTGTGTGCCTGGTACAGGCAGAGGCCAGAAGAGGTGTCAGATCCTGGGACAGGAGTAGGTGCTGTGTGAGTGCTGGGAACTGAACCTGGTCCCCTGCAAAAGCAGTAAGTGCTTTTACCAAGAGCCATCGCTCCAGTCCCTCTCCCCCCTTTTCTTTCTTTCTTGTTTTGGTTTTTGAAGATAGGGTCTTTCTGTGTAGCTCTGGCTCCTGGAACTACTCTGTAGACCAGGCTGGCCTCAAACTCAGAAATTCCCTCTTCTCTACCTCGAGTCCTGGGGTTAAAGGTGTGCATCACCAAGTTTGGCTTCTCTTAACTTTTTTTTTCCTTTACTGTTTTTGAGAGAGGGTTTCTCTGTGTAGCCCTGGCTGTGCTAGAACTTGCCTTGTAGACCAGGCTGACCTTGAACTGACAGAGATCTGCTGGGATTAAACATGCCTGTCATCCCCCCCCCCCACCTCCCCTCCTTTCTTTTTTTAAAAATAGGGTTTCCTGTAGTATACCCTGGCCTTGAATTCGCTATGCAAATGAGGCTAACCTTTAACTCTTAATCTGCCTGCCTCTACCTCCCAAATTCAAGGGCAGAGCAAGGCCTAAGCCCAGGTCCCCAGCCACAGGTATGCACCACCACACCTGGTTAGTAGTAAACTTTTTTTTTTTTTTTTTTTTTGTCTTGGGACAGACAAATGAACTTTGCCACCTCAGAGTGAGATTCCAGATTTGATCCTCTTGAAGTAAGGACAAATGTAGGCCCTCAAGAGACAGGCAACAGGATCCAACACTGTTCCCAAATTCCTCTCCCTCACAGCAGAGTACAAAGACTGGGCACCGTGCCTACCTACCTCTGTGTGTAACACTTTCCTCTGATATGGAAACACTCCATTCTGGAGGAGGCTCCTTAAGCAGGAAGGTAAACAACTCAAAACAGCTTCAGGAAGTTCCTGAAACTGACCAGATTCACTAAGCCCTTCCCTACCCTAGTCTCTCTCATAGGGAAGGAGCTGCGGTGCCTTTTAGAGGACTTCGAAACTAGACAGACCAGAGACCTGGAAAAAGCAGAAATCCCCCAAACGCCTGAAGCACCTGGAAGGGACATTAACATGTTGAACCACCTCCAGGCTGTGTGACATGCTCCCAGTTCCCATGCTGGGGTGGGCTTTGGTGATGCAACTGCCTTTGAGGCATTTCTGTTCCCATAGTAAACCCCTCACCCATATACCTGTAAGTAACCCCAATAAAATTCATTGGTTCACCAAGTTGGGCTTTGGTGGTATCTGTTCTTGGGTCTGTCCTGGGCTCCCAGTCTGGGGTGAGTAAGTGTGCGTGTCTCTCCAGGAAAATTTTCATCACACAACACCCGTCACCCACCCTGACACACTTGTCCATGTTCCAGCTGATCCAGATGACCCATCAGGCAAACGCTGCACAGGTGAACCCTCCTCCCTTCTCCCCAGCCTTTCCCCCAATTCAGACATCGTATTTGAGGAATCAGTCTTCAAGATGGGAAATGTTTATTTTCAGCAAATCCAAATTTCCAAGTACAGATAAATTCCAAGTATAGATAAAAATGACTAAATTCCTCCCTCCACCTGTCGGCCCAGGCCTGAGCTCACAGCCCTAGTTTAGGCCCAGGGTAGAGACATGTCACTTGTACTGAGGGGAAAGCGGGGGCACAAGAGGGGCAGCACAGACACTCAACATCTTGTCAATATCCACTTGGGTTGTCTTATCCACCTCAGCCTTGAGGCTGCTACTCACCCTCAGACTGGACAACCCCCCAGGCTCCCCTCCAACCTCCTGCCCTAGAGAAGGAAGGGTGTGTGTGAGAGGCACTAATGCGTTAGGGCAGGGTAAAGCGAGGCCTAAGCCCAGCTCACCTGCCACGGGCACCAAGGCCCGCAAGTGCAGCTGTTCCACACCTGCCTTCTCAGGAGCCGGGGCTAACTCCGACTGGGGCTCCACCTCTGGCTCTCCTTCGCTGTCCCCTGCCTGATTCAGCTCGGGGTTGCAATAGTTGATATATTGGTACAGTGGCCGCAGGCGCTGGGCTTTTCCTGCAAGAACCCAAGGCAGGGCAAAGACTGGAGCGCCGGGTGGGCCCATGTCAGTCCGAGAAGACAAAGAAGGGTAACCCCAGGGAGTCCACTCACTCTCCAGTCCCAGCGTCTCCGTGGGTGCAGATGTACTGGCTACAGCTGGGGGCACAAGAGCCCCTACGCTCTTGCGCTTCTTGGCTTTCTTGTGCTGTTTAGCAGGCAGTGTAGACTCACTGTGGCTGCCCTCTGGCTCCTCCTTCTGCAGCAGCATCCCGGGTGGCAGTTCAGCTTCAGCCCTAGGTTGAGCATGGTAGCTTGGCCCTGGGAGGGCTGTGGTAGCCAAGCCTGGGACAAGAGGCCTGACAGAGGTAGGCTTCAGTCTTTGGATCCTAGCCCTGCCTGCCCACCAATGCCAGGACTAGTTAGCTGCCCCTTTCTTGGTCAGTGAAGCCCCAAGCCCAGTAGAGACCCAACACTCTTGTAACAGTTTCCTACAAAACCTGAATGCTTCAAATCTTTTTCTTTGCCTCTTAGACTCCTGTTCTAGAGAAATAGAAGGTTCTAGTTGGGAGTTAGAGGTAGCAGCAGAAGACAAAAGATTTCTGCCTCAAAGGTATCAGGATTTAGGACTATCGGGGTATAAAACCCCCCTCCCCAGCCCGGCAACTCCTTCCCTCTGAAAGCCCCTCACTTGATGGGCTTTCTCTTGGTTCCATGACTGGGCCTCACGATGGACGATGCAGGCTTGGGTCCTCTCTCCTCTCCTGCTTCCACCCCTGGATTGAGTCCTTCCTCTCCTCGGTTTATTCCTTCCTCCTGGAGCTCCAGCTCAAAGCTGTGTCCTACTGAACACTTGTCTTCACCTGGGGGTCTGCAGGTCTCCCGTGCTGGCACCAGACACTTTTCTCCTGGTCCTGGACACTAGAAGACACACATAGCAGCCAATGGCCAGGCAAAGTATTGTAGGGAATCAGTCATTCAAAGTCCAATATTCGCCACAAAATATGACATGAAGGCTACCAGCTCAGACCCCTCTACATGCAGGGCTTGGCCTGGCAGTTAGGGAGTTGGGTCGCCTAGAGTCCCACCTTTCCTGCCCTACCACTCCACCTCCCGAGCTTCAAAAGCCTGAGTCACCTCAGGGATCTCTGCAACCTGGGCTAAGCCTACTGCCTCCCCATTCTGGGCTTCAGGATGCCTCTGGGCCCCTGCTGAGGCCATGGCTGTGCGAACTCAGTGCTTCCCTTGACGGTTGCTAGGAGAAGACGGCGGGCTCAGAGGGGGGTTGAACTGGTGTACTCAGTGTTGGCAGATGAGGATCCTGCTGAGATCCGAGACCTTCACTAGCTTCTCATATGGAACTACAAACCCCAGAAGGCTTTTCGCCAAAATCATTTGACCCCTGACCTCAGGAAGCCATTTGTTGCCGAGCAACAGCAACTCCTACCAGCTTGCAACAGTTGGCGGTAAAACTGCTCCTGTGAGAGCCCCCGACGGGGCGCTGCGGGGGAGGGGTCGCGAACCCCTCAGGGCAGTGGGCTAGGATCCCGGTCGCGGGGCGGTGGCGCAGGCTCAGCCTAGGGGCCGGGCTGGAGACGAGGGGTGGGGGTCGGGAATGGCGGGTATTGCGGGGCTGCAGGGCTCGGGTCGAGGGTGGAAGCACCCAACGGGGATTGGGGGTCGGAGTTACGCAGCGCAGCAGGTTTCGGTGCATGGTTGCAGGGCTGCGGTAGAATCATGTGCGAGGGCCCGTCCCGCATCTCTGGACCCATTCCCCCAGACCCTACGCTCTGCCCGGACTACTACAGGCGGCCGGCCTCGGGTGAGTTGCGCGGTCCCGCGGCGGGCGAGTACACCGCGCCTTCACTGAGCACGGTTTTCCACCGCGTCTTGCTTCTCAGCCCAAGGGCGCCTGGAAGGAAACGCGCTGAAGCTGGATCTGCTGACTTCAGGTCGCGACCTGGACTCCTGTCCTCCTCGTGGCCCCCGCATCAGGCCTGGAGCCCGAGAGATCCTAGAGCGTGGTCAGCGAGGCATGGGGGACGTGCTGCTGCAACTGGGAGGCATCTCCCTTGGTTCAGGGGTGTCTCCTAAGAGTAAGTCCTTCCCAGAAGGGGTATGGGGCATTGGGAGGTCAAAAGCAGAGATTAAAATAGGATGCTCCTTAATTGCCTTGAGCCCAGGTAACTATGTACTTTTCTGGGTGTTAGTTTTCCTAGCACAAAAGGAGGCTGAAATGCAGTACCTCCTGGCAGGATCAAAACTCTTAGGTAGGAAATCCTAGCTTCAAGCATTCACACCTTGGTGGCACATCGCTTAAGTAGCCTACTTCTTGTTTCTAAGGTGTTAAGAAAACAGACTTAAAAGTATGGGCCTTGCAGTTGGAGGCAATAAATAAGACAAGACAAGGTGATTAGTGGTAAACTTCAGGATCAAAATGTAGAGGATAACCAGGAGGAACGCGGGGTAAGGAGAGGATAAGGTGACAGTAGTGCTGTGTGTGTGGTGTCGGAGATGCCAGTCATCTCCTCAGAGAAGGTACACTAGGCATCACTCCACCAGATCCTGCCAAGCGTGTGGCGTGAGCCTCCATGTGGCTCCACTCTGAGTTGAATGGCCATTTGTAGGGCTGTCCCTAGCAACAGTTCTTCCCTAGGAAAGAATTCAAAAGACCATGAGAAGGAAAATCTGAGGCGGATCAGAGAGATTCAGAGGCGCTTCCAAGATCAAGAACGCAGCCGGGAGCAGGGCCAGCCTAAGCCCCTGAAGGCACTGTGGCGCTCACCCAAGTACGACAACGTGGAGTCTCGAGTCAAGGCCAGGATGAAGGTATCTGTCCCTGGGAACCAGCCATATTGTCGGTCTTCATCAACAGACAATTATACCCTGATCTAACTTACAGAGCGTGTGTATGGGGTGGAGATCATAAAGGCTAAGACATCTGGGGTGGACCTTCTCTGGGGAGCTGATTGGCATCAGGGAAAGTAAGAATTAGGCTAGGGAAAGAGATGAAACCTCACAGTTAGAAAGAAGTCCTGGGATCAGGGCAATGGGGAGAGTGGGTATCACTGTATTTATAGGTTAGGGCTGAAAGCCAGCTAGACGCATATCTGAAAGAATTTACCTAAGCTGCTTGTCAACATTTATTTGTGATGTTGGAGCCCAAATCCAGGGACTCATGCACCCTAGGCATACACTGTACCACTCACTAAGTTATAACCCAGGCTGACCTCAAACTCTGTGTACATGAGCTAAAGCTAACCTTTGAACTCCTGACTCTCCTTTCTCCACCTCCCAAGTACTGTAATTAAAGGTGTTCCCTACCACACCACTTTCCTTTTCTTTTAATTAATTAATTGTTTCAGATAAAAACGTGTATGGGTGTTTTGCCTGCAAGTCTATGTATCATAGAGGCCAAAAGAAGGCATCAGGTCTCCTGGAACTGGAGTTCCAGACTGCTGTGAGCTGCCATGTGATACTGGGAATGGAACCCAGGTCCCCTGGAAGGGAAGAGCATCCAGTGCTCTTAAACGCTGGGCCAACTCCCTAGCATTCTCCGCTCTCCCCACTACTTTCTTTTGAGACACGGTCTCACTATGTAGCCCAGTGTAGCCTCAAACTCATTATGTAGCCCAGGCTGGCTTTGAACTTTTAACAGTCCTCCTGCCTTAGCCTCCTAGGTGTTGGGATAATAGGTTTGGACCACCACTTCCAGCTCATTTCTTTCTGAAACCCAAGCTAGCTGTTTAGCCTCAGGCTGTCCTTGAATTCTCTCCATAACCTAGACTGGCCTGAAACTGTCAATCCTACCGAGTCCTGGGACTATAGGCATGTACCACCATTCCTTGAAACATGTATTTCCGAGGAAAGAGTGGAGGGTTACGTTTAGGTTTTGGTGGTAGTTACCATGTCTCTATGCAGGGACCCTGAAAGAGACAGAGGACTGAGAGAAAAGACAAGGTCACATGAGAGTGTATTCAGGCTGAAGCATCTGTGGGACTGCCAGGGGGTAGGACTGTGTCCAGGAAGCAGATGGATACATAGCTCTCAATCTCTTCAGTGAGACCAGAGTGTTATTGACAATTAAACTGAGGTCAGTGGCTCGAAGGACATATCCTTGGTTTCTAGGGCGTGGAGGCAACCCTCAGTAACTTTGGGGTGCTAGAGCCAGAAAGCTTGGTTAAGGAGTAAGGGAGCCGGGCGGTGGAGGCACATGCTTTTTATCCCAGCACTCAGGAGGCAGAGACAGGCAGATCTGTATGAATTCAAGGACACCCTGCTCTACAGAGTGAGTTCCAGGACAGCCAGGGCAACATAGAAACCCTGTCCTGAAAAACCCAAATAAATAAATAAATAAATAGACAAGGAAGGTAGCTAAATGAAGATGGATGTGGACAGCGGGTAGTTTGTTTTCTCAAAGCTTTAAGAGAAAAATGTATTTAAATGTTGAGAAGTATTCCTTCAAGGAGGAGGCCCATCGAGAAGAGCTTAGAGAGGAACTTGAAGGAGGGACAGGACAGGGGATAGTTTATGGCTTAGGACCCTGTCTGCAGCCTCCCTGATTCCTCTGCTGCCCTACCTTCCAGGAGCCTGGCCCTGCCTCTGTGACAGAGCCTGCCTACTTCCTTCGGGCCCACTCCCGCTGTGGGCCTGGGCTCCCACCATCCCGCGTCTCCAGTCCTCAGCCTGCCCTGCCAGGTGCCAAAGCTAAGGTGAGACAATCTGTGTGGACTAGAGAGGCCCTTAGCCAGCCGTCCTGGGGCTGGGGCACAGAGGTACGACAGAGTGCACAGGATCCCCACCATGCCTGCCATGTCCCTGCAGGGGCCAGGCCTGGGTGTGGATTTCATCAGTCACAACGCCCGAGCTGCCAAGAGAGCCCCGCGGCGCCATTCCCGCTCCCTGCAGGTCCTGGCGCAGGTTCTGGAGCAGCAGCGGCAAGCTCAGGAACACTACAACGCCACACAGAAAGGCCATGTACCCCATTAGTAGGTTCCATGGGCCGACAAGTGTGGTTAGGGACCTTTGTGGGGGGTGGGAGCCATTCTGCCTTGGTGTCCTCAACCCTGGGGGGGCTGTGCATTCACAGCCTGTTGGAACGCAGGGATCTGTGGCGGAGGGAAGAAGAAGCTCGGCGGCTTAGCCAGCCAGACCCTGCCGTGCCCCCAGGCCACACACTCATGCCTGAGAACCAGCGACTAGAGACCCTGAACAGTCTGCTCCAGAGTAAGTACTGGGGCAGGGGTGGCTGAAAGGGAGCCCATGGGGCACCGTACACGCCTACCCAGCACTCACTGTTCCCATGCCCCCCTGAAGGCCAGAGCCAGCTGCTGCGTGAACTCGTCCTGCTACCTGCTGGGGCAGACTCTCTGAGAGCCCAAAGCCACCGTGCCGAACTGGACCGGAAGCTGGTGCAAATAGATGAGGCTATCAAGATCTTTTCCCGACCCAAAGTCTTTGTGAAGATGGATAGCTAAGCTCTACCTCTGTGAGTAGAGTGACAGGAAGGTCCATGCAGAGGGTCACCCATGGCTATGAAGGGCAAGCCATGTCATAGTTCCAAAGACAGGAGCACCGGGGTGGGCAGTTTCTCTAAAGCACCTCCTAGTCCCCCAGCCTTCCAACTCCTTATCAAAATTAAACCTTTTGTACACAGCGGCTGTTTCCATAGCATCTTTCTTGACAATGTCAGTGGGGCCTCCTGCTGCATGGTTCTAGGAAGGTCTCTGCTGCGCCCTTATCCATCCTGCCTCATGTCCAGGGAAGAAGGCTGACTTACAGGCTCAGGGAAGGGGTTTGGGCTGGGACACAGAAGGACCATGTCTGCATTTGTAGACAACCTTTAATATTCCCTGGGCTGAGAGGGCTCTGTGAGCAAGCTAATCTTCCCTCCCCAGCTGGGAAGTCCATGCCACGCTCCAGCAGCCTGAGCTGACAAGGGCTGCGTCTTTGCCTGTCAAAGGCTGAATCCACTAACATCACCTCGCATGCCGTTCCCCCAGTCAGAGTTGGCTTGCTCTTGGCTATCCAAGGAGGGCAGAGAGCTGCCAGCACCAGGAAGTAGGCAGCCAGGTTGCAGGTCCCAGCGCAGGGGCCCCTGAGACAGCCCATTAGAACAGGGAGGGTGGCGATTCTCAATGACCAGGTCACTGTTGTCCTCATCACTCTCAGGGTCAGTAGGCCCAGGCCCTACAGAGGAAGGCCCTGGTAGACGCCCAGAT